GCAACTTTGGTGGTAATGCTGATTAGATTGGCGCGTAAGTTCAAATGCACAGCGGATTTTTTTTCTTTCTCTATTTTACAAGCTCATTTGGGAAATAACAGACTAAGTTTTGAATTTACTTGTTATTACATTTGGCAATAAAAGTCGTTGCACAATTACAGTTATTTATTTCGGACCATGCTGGATACCTATCGATCTATTTTTAGCGTTGATTAAACCAAGCACAGCTCCGATTCCATCTCAGTAAATTTCTTATTTATATGAAACTTATTTTAAACCACGATACAGTAACGTACCAAAGTTCCTGTGAAAGTACGAGGGACACATAATGAGACAGATATAGATGCGAGCTTTGTGAAGACAAGACACGCATCCAATTGCTGTTCGCCTTAGACGTAATCTGGGAAACCAAATCTAGCTAATTCATTTCATTCTAAGGCAGGAGACTCAAAATGAGTGCGAACGAAAATAGAGCTAAATGTAAATTTTCTATCATTAATACAAACATTTGATTGAGCACAAAGGAAACACGACTTTAGCGGTAGATATGTGTAACGTCCGTTAATATTTCAACAGTAAGTTCTAGGCTATTACTTGCTCTAAATAGGAAGGATAGGCGATCTGTAGATGACATTGCTTTACAAAAAGGAGAATCACTATTAGCGGAAAATATGTCAATATATATAGAATTAGAGGAAATAGCCTAGTACAGAGCCTTGAGGAGGCAGAGCCAGAAATGTAACTCTACCAAAAAAAGGCATGTTCCCGCATTTTCGTAATTGCATAATTGTATTAGATAGGTGAAAGAATTGTTCTTAACAGAATACCATATTGCAGCGGCTCGAAGCTTTGGCAACGAGCGGAATGGCATCATCAGCCTTGGTTCCACCACGAATCAGCTCAATTGTATCATAAAAGCTAGCTCAATGAACCGAGACTCTTTAGAAATAGATTGATGTGATCGGGATAGTTTGGACGCCTTAAAAAGGATTATAGCAAGCTACTGATGAAAAAAATTCAATATGGCTATGCAAATGACAAGTACACAGCTCCTTAAAAAGCTCCGAGAGTATTGACTTCAATGTGTAATTAATAAAGGGTATAGCAAAAAATATACTTCTTCTATCTCAAATGTGGTTTAAAATTTATTCATCTTTTTGACTCGTATGGATCATTGACGGGTATAAATCTCACGTCAATAAAGTCCAGTTTTGTTGTTTACTGAGGAATTTTCAGCAACGCCGCTAGAAACCGATGATTATATCCAATAACATATTAATCTAGGCAGCTAGACTATTCTTTATATTAAAACAAGCTTACCTATAGTGCGGGAATTATATTGCTTTTATGAATTTATTAATCCCTGAAGTACTGTATATTAAATTAAATTCAATAAAGTAGTTAAACAACTATCGCTAACAATGACATGTTTCTGTTACATTAAGGTCAATCTAATCGTTTACCGATGTACGATGTGTAAAAATCTGCCCCCCCCCCCCCCCACAGTAAGAAACGTTACACTAGCTACTGTCTCTTGATTAAATATAAACCAAAGAATAAAAGCCCCACTTCATAAAGACATCGCTTTGTCTTTGTTATCGTCCACTGGTCTTCAAATCATTTCCATTCCAGGTGAGAATTAAGCACAAAGCTTACATGCACTTGGCACCCAGCGAAAACTGAACTTTAATATGTTAAAATATGTTAAAACCATGCTTTCGCAAAAACAATTTCAACCAGTTTTCAGAGGTTCACCACAGAAGCGAAACTGATTGGATAGACAATTATTTTCTGGCATGTATATATGCACCTATGCGACCGTTCAAGATATACCACCGCTATCGGTGCTTCCCTATTTTACTTAATATGAAAAAAATTTTTGCCCTCGCTGCAACAGCCGTTATCAACTACACAAATTTTACAATATAGATATTTGTACAATAGAAAAATCTAGGCGTAATACTCCTGTTGCTAACTAGCAGTTTGGTACAACCAAGTTCAACAAACTTTGAGTTAGCTGAATACATCTACGGACTTCCGTGTTACACGGTTTACTTTGTTACGTGCTAGTTTTCGTACATTTGACTTCAACCATTTGAAGGGAAAACCGATATTTTATGCTGAAGTGTTCGTTCACAGGAATAATTATGGGGCGGACGTCCTCAGACGCTTTTTCGAGTACAGCGGTGTACAGACCACAATGAACAATGTAGAAATCGTCGGCTAAGAACCTAGCCAAGTAATCAACTGTGATGTCACGATATAATGGGGGAAAAAAAGTACGTGTCCATGCGACACATGTTCGTATCCAACAATAACTATTTTATGCAAAAAATCAAAGAACTATTTGAAAATAATGGCAATCAAATATATGATAGATCGGTGTATTGGTCTGGCCACCTAGGATTTAGCATGCCGAACGGTTCACTATCGTACAAAGGCGGAACTGAGGTAGGAATCTATAATCATACCCTACACAATAGATAACTACATCAGTACGGGAAACCCGTTCACTACATCCTAGCCCTCGCAGGCCAAAGGCGAAAAACCACCTATTCGCTGCGCAGATCGGGCAGGTTTGATGATATTGTAAGCAATGCAATATAATGCACTCCAGTGAAATAGATCTGCTCGTCGAGCTGATACTAAGCAATAAATGAACCTCGAGTTCGAATACAAACATGCGATTATAACCTTATTATTGGAATCTTATCATTTACCAGAATACAAAAGTTATCTTCCAGGAGACCATTTGTAGGCGTACACTACTTGGCTTAATGTGAAACCATTAGAGATGCGTTTATTTACAGTTTGGCAATACAAGCAGCGATCGTCACGGTCCTTCTCTGAAGATCACAATGTATGGCAAGTCAATTTTCATCTTATTAAAAAGAGACTATCCATCATACACTAGAATCTAGTCGACAATCCTACATCATATGCTATGGGGAAACGTATCTCACTGCCCCAATCATTTCGGCATCTTCTTGTCCACGACTAATTATTTCGGGGGCTAGGACAGCGAAAGCTACTGCAAGCCTACATGCAGGTCGCATTTTAAAAACGTACACTACACAGAATTTGAGTAGATGACGACGGTTTTGTCACAGACTCTACGGCTGTCTAGAAGCGGGCCAATACCAATGCTGTATAAATACGTCACTGACAAAAGCTAGAGGCTACCGCACCCTTTTCTTTGCTAGAAAACGCTTAAGGCAATCGATTATTTTGATAGAAATAACGTCCTCATTATATTTTGCGTTTCTATTTATTGAGAAACCAGCATCAGCAACAACAGCCACCTATGCTATGTTCATTGACATGGGCACGTGCGCTCACGTATTATAACCTAATACGTGTTAATAGCAGTAGGCTGGCTGGCTGGCTGGCTGGCAGATAGAAGAAACACGCTGTACAATATAGCAAGGATGGCTGCCAGGGCGTAAATTCGGTTGATTTCGGGGGACGGGAAAGCAGGTACGGAAGATTTCAGAAAGGTCGGCGACAGATGGCACAGCCACTGTGATTGTTTCTGTCTGGAAATTGCTGGCAATTGTCAACAGTGACTAGCGAATTAGAAAAGCCATGAACAGATCATTGTTCGTAGCTAAAACACTGATCTCTTCTTGGGCTCATCCGTATGTCTAATAATCTTTGCCGGTAATCAGTCAGTGCAAAGCTGTCGATACCCGTCAAAGTTTGGTACGATTGTTTGAATGAGAGATGACCGCGAAACGCTCAGTTTCCGTTCGATTTAGTTTTTGCAGGCAGGGATGGAAGAGTACGTCCATATTCGCAAAAGATAGATCTAAAAGCGCGGCTACGAGAAGCCTATTATCTCGTAGCACCCACCAGATCTTCCCAAATTTGTGATAAATTTCAGGCAATGGCCAAATTTGCGGTTCTTGATCCTTGACTACCGCTGCAGACGGTTGGCGTCTCTTACCAAGTTTCAAATACAAGACACATATAAAGCAGGTAAGTAAGTACTAGCGCACATGACGGTGTCGCACTCAACCCAGCCATCATCCAAGCTACACAGTAACTAACAAACTGGAAAGTCAGACATTTTTCTTTTCGGTAGTATACTTTCGTTATTTTGTTAATCGCGCATGATTAGTTACGGAACCGAGTTAGGGACAGGAAAATTGCGTACCTCGACGACGAAATCCGCTCGCTTGTTTTATGTTTACGGTTATATAACGCGCACAATTGCGATACTAGTGGACGTAATATATACATAAAGTATGCGTAAAGACCTAAGCGGACGTTAGTCAAAAATTAAACGCTAACATAACTGTTACTAGTCGCTATAGGGATGCGTTCTGGATCCTTTTGACCGTGAAAACGACATTGCGTTGGTGTGCATAGGTTTTATGTAGATTCGATTTGCGATGTCTATCCGATTAATAGAAATGACAGCTAGTTATTGATTGATGTCACTCTAAAAAGGAAAAAAAACTCAATTTAATGGCGCGGTCCAAGAGGATTCGAACTAACTGAACAGACCGGTATAGCCATCCTTGACCGCAATGTGGAAACAATTGTCATAATAGGAGAAGCTCATTGTTGTTACCATACAGGTGAGGAAAAGTTTACAACTAAAAAAATAATATCGATCGATTGCCGTAGATGGATAATACGTTACTTATGTCTCATTTGCTACACGTTGTTGATTTATCAGGATATTGTCCAATTGTAGTCCAAAAAACAAATCCAAAAAAAAAACATAGGTACGCGTATGGGGATGACACAATCATTTGATTGAATTACTTGATAGTACTGTATTTTGAAGACCATATTTAAACGACAAATAGATGAGTTTACGGACAGCGAAGAAAGCATCAGTTACCTAGGAAAAAATGTTACTGATCGTTTAAATTGTTTATTGATCGATTGTATAGATCGATGATATAGATAGATAGATAGATTTACATAGATAGAGAGATAGATAGATTTACATAGATAGAGAGATTTAATGGGCTGAGCTATTGCAAAGCTTACATGAGCGGCAGCCGGGGTTGATTATCTGATGGCATTGTGAGTGATCGTAGGGAAAGTGAAGCACACCCGATGAATGATTTCGTTTTCGTAACGCGCTCCTTTACATCGTAACAACATACACGGATTGAACTTGACGTAGTGCAAAATCGTCCAGTAAGTTCGACATTCAAAAGATACGTTGGATTCGATGAACGCTGTAAGACAGATTGACTCACGTTAAATTTAGAACAAGACTTTCAATTGTTTTTTCAACCGAACTGGTGTGAAAATACTAATATATAGTATTCATACTTCGAACATCAATGCTATTCAAACTGATAAAGAAATTGTTTTAATGTCGTTTAATCACTCAGACTGATAAAGATGATTGTTTAACTTTTGAGAACCACTTACCTCAACGACCTCTGTGTGTCCGCAGGTGTCCCAAATAGCAGGTGCCAGGCTGCCCATGAGAACAAGCATTGAGTTTGGCGGCCGTCCAGAATGATCGCAACGAAGGTTGTCGCAACTGAGCTCCAATAATAACGGCCGCAGCTCATCAGCACCTAGCAACAGAAAAAAAATTACGTATAAAAATAGGGAAAATAACAAACAAGAAGCAAAAGACCAGTTATATATATATATGATGATAGATACACTAAAATGTACAACTTCATAAATCAATCGTGCCATTTGTCTTAACAATTATTTGTGTAAAATTATAATTTCCTTAAAAAACAAGTACCATACGCGCTCGATGTACTTCCTAACGGCTACAAGGATTCTCGCTTTCCTTTAGTCTACTCTGTTCTGAAGGAACAAACTAAATTGAATTGTACACCGTTCGCAGGTACTTAACCGAAGCAAGTGGAGGAGAATCTGGCTGCATCTTGTAAAAAAATACTATGAAAAACACAACTCGGCAGAGGTATAAATAGGTATATTAAAGGTACGTAATCACTGAAGGCTTTGCGCTTATCTTTCGACAAGTATGTCATCTTCAACTATAATAGATTACAAAATAAAAAAAACGCTCGATTAAGCGGACCCACATATGCACGTCATCCGAGCATATATTACTACAAAAGTAAATAAAAACAAATTTGCAATTCAGTTAAAATGACATTTATTACTGTAAACATGAATACAGCGCATGTTCGTCCCCATGTTACAAATTGCACTTAAACTATTAAACAAAGTAATTCGAACGTTCTTTGGTGTCGTACAGATATCGGTTTTCTAATTGGGATTATAACAGTAGTATTAAATAAAGCAGGAATCGAAACGCGGCAAAAAAAAATTAACGCAAGTTATTAATTGTATGACTGGATAATTTTTAGGTGAAATGACAAGCAGCCTTCCGTCGTTATCCTTGTTTTCATATTTAGGTAGAATCATTTCCAGGTGTACCGCATACCTCTTTTGTTTGACATATCATACGACTTTGTACTATATAAATATGAACGCGCTAAATAAAATAACTACTTGTTTCTCATCTCAAGCCTAGATTCTCATTCACGCTACAGTCAGATAAAATCTTTTATCATTTGACTTTAGATATACAATAACTGTGCAGCAAAAATCACAGATTCCATTAAGGTAGCTGAGTTTTATTTTGAGGTAACAGGAAAGAAAAAAAATATGGATATCAGGTCTCGTATTTAGCTATCTATTAAACCTTTTTTTTTTTAATTACATTGAGTATTATCGTATCTGGCTTTCTATAGATATTCCACAAAACGCTTTCTATAATATATATAATCGGAGACTCCCTGCTAGTGACCTGATGTGACCCGCCGTAGCAGTTAACGATTCCGTCTACGTCCGCTGCTCTTAATATTAAAGCCTTCAGAAGGTATTCTATGGTAAAAATACGAATAAACGCTCATGATATCAACATATCCTCGTACATACTTATTTTTGTTAGCTCACATTTAAAGCGACAAACCAAGTAATGACAACTTTATTCTCACCTTTACTTGGGGGGGGGGGGGTACGCTAGAAAGAACTAGGTAAACGATTAGTATAAACAACAACAACCACCACACACAATGGTATGTCCGCTATACTATGTCATTTTGTAAAACTGTTAACTTAAGGAGGAGCCTTAAAAGGAAGTAAGCTATGGATAAATATAGCAACACGAACTCCGTAATTAAAATCTTTCCCATCTAAACCAACGACTAGTCAAGCGATATAAGAACCTACGTCAGTAGCCACGTTTGAGTTAATGATTTATTGCCTATTGGCCAAGTGTGTATCGAATATGAAATCTGCAAACTCAGTGGCTATTCCACTAGGTTCTTTTTCACTTGTGTCAGTGGGAATGATGAGTTATTACTTCAATGACATAATAAACTTCTACGCTATAGTTTCAGTCGAAAGTAATCAAAGGCGCCTGCTCACATTCCTCCGATCCGTAATGGCTACTATCCGATGGTTGAGGCGACGAGCTCTTGGTGAGCGGGCCTTCTTGGGCCAAGGCCAACCCTGCCCGCAGCTCTTCCGCGGTTCGTCGAAGGTTTTCTATCGAAGCACTTGTGAATGCGTGCATCCACGAGTCACGCTCGGCCTCAGACAATGCGCCCAAGTAAATATGGTCTTCCATGTTATACACTGTAATGATGGAAGCAATAACAAACTGTAAGACAATGATTTCCATTTCGTGAATTCTGATTGCCGAATAGTTCGATGTTTATTCGACGACAACCAACAATATACTACTCGAAAAAGACTCACTTCGAAAAGCACGGACACTTAATATACTATATTAAGATCTATTGCAATTTAGATAAAATATTTATACAAGCAGTAGCTAGAACACTCCGCTGGCAAATTTAATCAAATCAATTTAATAATATAACGTAAGAAAGTGATGCGGAGAAAACTTCTGCTTGTGTCAGGTATCGACCAAAGCCATACTTCGGACCTAACGAGAAGCAAAACATCGTTTGATTTCGGGGTCCCATTTCCACGTGGCAATGCTCCAGTACAATTAGGCCTTGTGGCTCCGAACACGGATCTCGGTTACGTAGATAAAATAAAAGATTGCCCTTTAGTCTAAACCATCGCTCCGTGTACACTGAAATGTAGGAAGACAACATTAGATTAAACGCAACACTACGTAAAGCTATCATAGAGGCAAAGCCATTGTATTCGTTTCGTTTTCGTATAAGTATTCGTTATCAATAGAATTAGTCCTTAATCTTTTTTTACTAGCGCTAATGTGTACTTTTTTATAATTACAGCAAAATTAATGTCTTCAAGGTACTTTATACGGTAAGTTACCGCACAACTATCAGGTAATTCAAAAAGTAATTTCAGCAACTTTTGAACTGCATTTCTTGTTTACTTTGCCCTTTTTACTGTTTCGCGTTAGCACCACCCTTGATAATTCGTTTTAGTCCGTTAGTACCAATTACTGAGCAAGAAAATTACAAGACCGGAAAAACGCATTTCCCATATCGTCCTTAACACTAACTTTGGGCTACGAATCGACGGATGCGGTCAAATACTCTGTCTGCGAAAACTAATTTCAATATTTTAAAACCGCAAATCTAGCTACAAGCCACGCTTCTGGAGGCCACATTAGGCGCGCAACGATGCAACGCACACGGCAACTTCTATTTCACGAAAATTCGACCTAGGCATCACATAAGCCTTCTGAAGGGCTAAGCCTTTGCTGTTGTACTATTTGAATTGCCTGTATGTTTAAGGGAAAGATGTTTAAGGACGAGCATGGGTTACATAAAAGTTCAGTAAAAATGCCAATGCAGATCCTTTGGAGATGTGGACATCACTATTTGCAGCAACAAAGAAAAACTGCGATTTCTATACAAAATCGATAGAAAATAAACGCGGTATATTTTATGACCTTTCACGAAAAACAAATGTTTAAATTCTAGATTGCTACGTCAGAGGATTTGCCGGAATCGGGGATGTTCGTAGAAGACTTTAAAACACAGTGGACTAATGAATGCAGCGTGTGGCTCAACCCCGCAAACACGAAGGAAAAAATCGAAGGTTATGAAACAAGGGGATCATGTTGAATTACGACGTTTAGCATTGAACAGTTCCGATGAATCGGAAAGCTACAACAAACCCTGGACATTTTTGTACGATCATGTTACATATCAGACCTTGCCCTATCGAATTATAAGAGTTTGGCCTTGAGTAAAAATGACACTAAGAATAAAAATTTAAGAATAGGTAGCTTTTATCAATATCCGTTCTTTAATTGAGAAATCGGCTTGTCATCTAAACACCGTAGCACTGCCATTTAAGGCCAAACATGTTTGGTTTTAAATGGCGAACGTTAGAAAGGGAACTGAAGCTCTTTCAAGATTTGACAACACTTAAAAAAAGCGAAAACGACTTTTTCTTTACCGACCTAATATATCCGAAAAAAATGTCCATACCATCGCTTTTTCGAAAGAGAATTCCATCTTGCTTGTCTTTGAAGAATAACACTCCCTCTTTATCGAACTTGATGGCGGGCTGTGAGGCCACTGCCATCAGCTCTTTCATGTTGTACCTCATCGCGACACCAATCGTTCACTACCAGCTGTCTGTAATTAAAGATTGTAGTTCAAAGTGCTTGTTATTATTTGACACATTATTGCCATTTCTACATGCTTCCTGATAAAACATCATTTCCAAAAGCTAGAGTGCTAGTTAAATGTTTTACATGTGCTTAAATTAGCGCTTTGAGAACACAGGTGCGTAAAAAAAAAGTTGCTTAGCTCTTCATGCGTTTTACATCTTAAACCAATTTCATAGTGACCCGTGTTTGTATTCTTTCTCGAAAAACGAATAATTAATACAAATCAAAGGAATTTATTGACTTCAATTTACAATAGTGCCGCCGTAGAGAATGCCAGGAACTTATCGACTGCTTATAATTGCAACATTTCATTCATGGACTGGCAATTAAATTTGTGATGAAGAAAAAAAACTCTGTCAATTACAACGAATTAGAAGTAGAAATACGTGAAGCGCTGTCATATAAAATAAAATACAGACAGTATCATTAAAACCGAGAATTTTTAGTAACGCATCGAGTATAAAGCCAATTAACTTAATTGCCCTAAACTTAATGACTCTGTTTCACCGGTATCTGGACTATTGGATAATGTTATCTATAACGTTCTTTGCTTCTGCGATTTATAAGCACAAAACACGGTTTGAAAAATGTACGCTACATGAATAAAGATATCCTACAAAGGCCCCCTACTATGAACGTGGTAAGCCTCTTTTATCCAGTGAATTTTCATTCACTCTTAAAACAGTAGGTTTTGATTTTTCGATCGATGATCGATCCGCCGATCTAGTTCCCAAACACTGACTGGCACTATACGAATCTTACTTAGTCCTTGCAGACACAGACGTCGTCGTTCTAAAATAGATTTTGCACTGTTCCATGACAATATCACTACTATACACACCGCAATATATGAATAAGGCAAAATATTTATCGCTATGTTATAGCTTCGTTATATTTTTGGATGAGGTTGCACAACAGCTTCCATGTGTGGTTAGGTAATTGTACCGTTCTTCACAGAATGAGGCCCCTAATAATTAATTATTTTACGCGTGTATATCGTATACCTTTGTTATTCTCCAGGCGCTCAACTATTTTCTCCATCACGATCATATGATTCCATGTGTATGCTCTACAGAGACATTTCGCGAACACTCAAGTTCAGTCGTTCGGCGAAATTCTTCTCATGAGTACAAATGGAGCGCCGGAAAACGAGAGCTTTTCAGAGATTGCTAGTCGTATGTTCGAACCACAGTAAAACCACTTGAGCTGACGTACCAACACACACATCTCTACGCCATCGTATCGTCCGCACTAGCGCAGAGCGTAGAAGCTTAGTAACAGTAGAAATTATACCGTTTGGTTGTAACCAGCCAGATCACTAAGTCCGCCAGCAGCTCTGTAATGACAATCCCCCTTTCACTTAGTTACTCTCCCATGTACCGACGATAGCAAAAGCTCACTAAGCCTTCTACCATCACAAAGAACTATACACAAGCAGAAACATTGCTCACGAGGGCCCTTTTTCTCCACAACACTCCGCCGGAGATTTGATCGACCCCTCGGGTAAAACAATGACTGTGTCAAGCAGACGACTCTTTGCAGAGAGGGCCACCTGTGAGGTTAAGAGAGACACTTTCAAAAGGTGTGGAGTCCCAATTGGTGGAAAGAGTCTGACAGTAGATGGCTTACAAAAACAGATACGGAGCAGGTGTTTTGTAGATGTCTACATAAAGGGGAAAGAGACATGTGAAAAGCAGCGGATGAATCTCTAGATGCGTTGCAGCCTTTAAGAGTAATGCAGATAGCAGTCAGAGCTAAATGGCTGTCTGACGTTAAATAAGCATCTAGGTGTGATAAAACATCATTCAAAGCATAAAATTCTAGGTGTGCTGAAATGCGCGAGCAGCAACAAACGACGGAATTATTCTGCATACTTACAACGTAAAAAATAAACCATGTTTTGATATTGACCATCGGGTAGACCTTATCCTGGTCACACGACTTCCGATTCGAACACGCTGTGTGCCTGTTTTCTGCGCTGGAAATGCGCACCTAGACAAAAGCTATTTGAAGTCCAATCGTAATAGCTTCACTATAGTTGCACGCTGACTTTATTATTTTGTTAGATACTAAACATACAGCATAACCCATGGGCACATTCTCAGGGCCACTAGCTTCAGCTCGGGTTATGTTTCAAGCCAGTTTGTGGCGACCAGTTTCATCGACAACGATTATTTCAACATTCGGTGGAAACATATGAAGACTCGGTACGTGAAAGCCCATGTGAAGGGCAGGAAAGTGTCAGTCGTAGAAAGTATAACGTTACCGCATCTCCAAAAGCAAGCCGATAGACTAAAGCGACAACAAGTGGTTGACTGGGATTATGCACAAGAGGACCCCGAGGAGGTGTTTGGGCAACTGTCTGAGCTTTACGACGCGGTAGCCGAGTGAGTTCAATATAGTTAAATATTTGGGGGTTCGTTTTATGCATGACAAACAATTATCGATTTATATTTGTGTTGAGATTTGTGTGCTGAATAGAATTCGCTTATGTATTGCAGTCGAATTAGCCAACTTGAACACTTCGATTATTTCTTGCGAAAAGCTGACCTCTCGAAATTACTGGTGTAAGTGGCAAAAAAAAAGTTTTTTTGTTTGGTTAAAACTAATATTAAGAGATGCAACATGTAAGATATGTTGCATTGCTTAATGCATACAGATATAAACTACCAGTACGAACACTGTAAATTAATCTTTTCAATAATGACGCATTCAAGAAGCGTTATTAAACAATTTCCATTCCGACATTCCACCGGCGTTCTGGAAAGGGGTTTTGAAAATATTAAGAATTGTTCTCAAACTAACCGTTACTTGAGCGGTTGAGCTGGTTCTACTCATCGTTCTAGCAATTCATCGTTTCCAATTCTAGCCATGAAGTCGTTTTTCCTTAAGAGATCTATACTTATTTTGATTCTATGATGTTTTCACTGAATTTAAGCGTTTACTTCATACGTTTTTTTTTTACTTCACAATTTAGCGTTTTCTATTATTTACTACTAAAAATTACACGAAAATTACACTAAACTTTAAGTTAGTGCCGGAATTTCTGTAAAGAACAAATTCAATAAATAAAAACAAATTTTTTAACAAAATCTTAAAAATTAATATCTTGGCTCCACGCCTCTGACACTAATTCCTGC